CCCCAAGTGATGTTCTAAACAAGTGACCACCCAGCCCGAGGGCCTTAGTCATGGTGGATTTTGGTCTTCACACTTGCCCACCCGCGAGGAATTTTCTAAACAGGAGGTCTTCGACCAACCTGCCCACCCCAAATGATGTACTAAACAAGTGACCACCCAGCCCGAGGGCCTTAGTCATGGTGGATTTTGGTCTTCACACTTGCCCACCCGCGAGAAATGTTCTAAACATGAGGTCTTCGACCAACCTGCCCACCCCAAGTGATGTTCTAAACAAGTGACCACCCAGCCCGAGGGCCTTAGTCATGGTGGATTTTGGTCTTCACACTTGCCCACCCACGAGGAATGTTCTAAACAGGAGGTCTTCGACCAACCTGCCCACCCCAAGTGATGTACTAAACAAGTGACCACCCAGCCCGAGGGCCTTAGTCATGGTGGATTTTGGTCTTCACACTTGCCCACCCGCGAGGAATGCTCTAAACAGGAGGTCTTCGACCAACCTTCCCACCTCAAGTGATGTTCTAAACAAGTGACCACCCAGCCCGTGGGCCATGGTCATGGTGGATTTTGGTCTTCACACTTGACCACCCGCGAGGAATGTTCTAAACAGGAGGTCTTCGACCAACCTGCCCACCCCAAATGATGTTCTAAACAAGTGACCACCCAGCCCGAGGGCCTTAGTCATGGTGGATTTTGGTCTTCACACTTGCCCACCCGCGAGGAATGTTCTAAACAGGAGGTCTTCGACCAACCTGCCCACCCCAAGTGATGTTCTAAACAAGTGACCACCTAGCCCGAGGGCCTTAGTCATGGTGGATTTTGGTCTTGAAACTTGCCCACCCGCGAGGAACGTTCTAAACAGGAGGTCTTCGACCAACCTGCCCACCCCAAGTGATATTCTAAGCAAGTGACCACCCAGCCCGAGGGCCTTAGTCATGGTGGATTTTGGTCTTCACACTTGCCCACCCGCGAGGAATGTTCTAAACAGGAGGTCTTCGACCAACTTGCCCACCCCAAGTGATGTTCTAAACAAGTGACCACCCAGCCCGAGGACCTTAGTCATGGTGGAATTTGGTCTTCACACTTGCCCACCCGCGAGAAATGTTCTAAACAGGAGGTCTTTGACCAACCTGCCCACCTCAACTGATGTTCTAAACAAGTGACCATCCAGCCCGAGGGCCTTAGTCATGGTGGATTTTGGTCTTCACACTTGCCCACACACGAGGAATGTTCTAAACAGGAGGTCTTCGACCAACCTGCCCACCCCAAGTGATGTTCTAAACAAGTGACCACCCAGCCCGAGGGCCTTAGTCATGGTGGATTTTGGTCTTCACACTTGCCCACCCGCGAGGAATGTTCTAAAAAGGAGGTCTTCGACCAACCTGCCCACCCCAAGTGATGTTCTAAACAAGTGACCACACCACATACGTCCTGTCATTCAAATTATACCAACATTCCAAGCATAAGAAATGTGCAATAAAGCGAGTAAAATCTAACAAATCACTGAACTTCATTGATTGTTGAGCAAACTTTGCAATTTACATCGTTGTTTGAATTTCTGGCTCTCTTAAAAAAAACACGAAAAATTTTCACACATAATATTTTTTCAAATTAGCTATGTTCCATGACCTGGCAAGTGATCGGCCCTCAGCATCCTTCAGCGAGTACGCTCCTCCTGCGTGCACTCGCTCGACCAGGTATGGCCCTTCCCGGTTCGGCTCCAGCTTTCCCACATGTTTGAGCACATCGACCCGTTTTCAGACCAGGTCACCTACTTGGAGTCTGTGAATTTTCACCCTTTTGTCATGATCGGCTCTCATCCTCTGTTTGTACGCCTCGAACCTGATTGTTGCTCTCCTACGCAACTCCTCAATAGTGTCCAGGGCGGCCATCATTAGCTCTCCATTCTGCTCGGTATTATATGTGCTCGACCTCTGGAATGATAACTCAACCTCGACCGGCAGCAATGCTTCCATACCATGAGCTAGACTGAAAGGGGTTTCTCCAGTTGTCGACCTCAGGGTCGTGCGATATGCCCAAAGCACCGAGCTCAACTCGTCGACCCATGCTCCCGAGGCCTTTTCTAACTTTGTTTTCAGCCCATATAGTATAATTCAGTTGGTTACCTCGACATGGTTATTGGATTGTGGATGAGCAACGGAGGCAAAGTGTTGCTCGATTTTCATGTCTTCACACCACGCTCGAATCCACTTGCCATTGAACTGAGTACCATTGTCGGAAATCAACACTTTGGGCACGCCAAACTGACAGCAAATGTTGTTGTATAGAAACTTAATTACTTTCTCCTCCGTAATCTTCGCCAAGGGTTCGGCCTCCACCCATTTTGTAAAATAGTCTACTGCCACAATTAAGAACTTCCTCTGCCCCGTTCCTTGCGGCATCGACCCCACCAGGTCGATCCCCTACTGGGCGAATGGTATAGGGGCACTCATCATCGTCATCATTTCTGCCAGTTGGTTGATAAGTGGGCCGTGCTTTTGGCATTGTAAGCATTTCTTCACCATCGCCTTCGCATCCTCCCTCATCGTCGGCCAGAAATATCCTGCCCTCAAAATCTTTGCAACCAAGACCCCTGACTTACTATGATCACTGCAGCATCCCTCGTGCATCTCTCTCAGCACATATCGACCTTCCTCCTTAGTTACACAGTGCAGGTTTGGTCCCGCATACGACCGCCTGTAGAGAATTCCTCCTTGCTCGAAAAATCTCCTCACCACTTTTATCTCCCTTTCTTTCAGTTCCTTTAAGATCGGGGCTCTCCAATCCTCCCCCTCCTCGATCTCCGCCACTTCTGCTTCGACCATACTCCTTTCAAGATGCAATAAAGTGACACTTCTGATCTTGCAGTCCACCAGGATTTGAGCAATTTTCGATAACAGGTCCGCCCGACCATTTTCCCCCCAAGGGATCTGTATCAACTCGAATGAATCGAACTCCTCTTTCATCTTCCTCATCTCATCCACGTACTTTTGCATCCGGTCCTCCTTAACTTCAAACCCCTCCTGAAACTGCCCGACCACCAGCTGTGAATCAGAATGCACTTGTAACTTTCGGGCTCCTCCTGCTTTGGCTAGGCTTAAGCCTTTGATCACTGCCTCATACTTGGCTTCGTTGTTTGATACCTTGAACCCCACTTTGGCTGCAAACTCCAAGTAATCGCCCTTAGGAGAGACAAGGACAATTCCTAATCCAGCCCCGCTTCGTGCCACTGATCCATCCACAAACAACTGCCATACTCCTCCCTACTCCTCCTCGATTTTCGTGCCTTCCTGGATAAAGTCGGCCAACGCCTGTGCCTTCATGGCCCTCCTCGGTTCGTATGATAAAGAATACTCACTCAACTCGGCCGCCCATTTTACCAACCGACCAGAGACCGATGGTCGGCCGAGTGTTTCTCCCAGCGGCATGTTTGTTCGCACCTTCACCTTATGATTCAAGAAATAAGGTCTCAACTTTCGAGCAGTTACGACCACTGCCAAAGCACACTTCTCGATCTCTGAATACCTCATCTCCGCCCTTTGCATCACCCTGCTTACGTAGTAAATAGGAAATTGTGCTACCCTTTCTTCTCGTAATAATACCGAACTTACAGCCCTCTCCCCAATAGAAATGTATAGCACCAACTCCTCGCCTTGTACGGGTTTATCCAATAAGGGAAGGTTGGCTAACACTCCTCGCAACTCCTCGAATGCCCTCTGCGCCTCCTCCGTCCATTGAAATTTCACACTCTTCTTCAACGTTTTGAATAATGGGCCACTTTTCTCCGCCACCTTCGATATGAAACTATTCAACCCCGCAATTCGACCAGCTAAGATCTGCACTTCCTTAACAGTCGTTGGCGGCTTCATCTCTATCACGGCTCGATCCTTTTCAGGATTCACTTCAATGCCTCTCTTGGTCACCAAGTAACCCAAGAATTTCGCCGACCTCACCCTGAAAGAGCACTTAGCCGGATTCAATTTCATCTCATACCTTCGCAATGTTGAGAACGTCTCTTTTAAATCCCGCACATGATCCAACTCCTCCATGCTTTTCACCAACATGTCATCCACATACACCTCCATGTTCCTCGCTAGCTGCTCTTTAAAGATTTTATCGACCAACCTTTGATACGTGGCCCCCGCATTTTTCAGGCTGAAGGGCATGACCACATAACAATAGGTTCCTCGACTCGTTACCAAACTCACCCGCTTCCTGTCCTCTCTCGCCAAAGGAATTTGGTGATATCCGTGGGAGGCATCCATCAAGCTCAGCAATTCGCACCCCGCCGTCGAGTCGACCAGCTGGTCGATTCTGGGTAGTGGGTATAAGTCCTTTGGGCATGCTTTGTTCAGATCACGGAAATCATTGCACATACTCCATTTTCCCTCGGCCTTCGACACCATTACTGTGTTCGACAACCACTCGGGGAATTGGATCTCCTTGATATGTCCCGCTCCCAATTGTTTCTCGACTTCCTTCTCAATGATCCTATCCATTTCCGCCCCATGGTGCCTTCTTTTCTGTTTTACCGGCCTCACACTGAGGTCGATGTTCAATCGATGCTCGATCACCTCCGCGCTTATCCCCATCAACTCCTCCGTTGTATAAGCAAAAATATCAGCGAACTCCCTTACTAGACCGATCAGCCTCGACCGAATAGGCTCCTCCAAGTCCTTCCCAATTCGGAATTTCCTTTCCACGCACCCCTCAATCATCTGGATCCTCTCGACTTCTCCTCCTGGCTGGATATCTACTTTCTCCTTGCCTTTCTCCATTCTCTGTTTATCCTTTTTTGACCTCGACCCACCTGGTCAATTAACCTCCTCCTCCTTCGACTCGGCCTGCCTCTTCGCCAGTTGTTTGTTATTGCTCACCGTTGTTTGATAACATCTCCTTGAAGTAAGTTGATCCCCGGCGATCTCCTCCACGTTTTCACCCACAGAATACTTGATCGTCATGTGGTACGTGGATACGACCGCCTGGAATGCATTCAAGCTCGTCCGCCCCATAATGATGTTGTACGATGATTCAGCTCCTACGACCATAAACCTCACCATGCGTACCTTCCTCAGCTCTCTTGCTCCCAATGTGACTGGCAAACTTATCTCGTCCATCGGCATCACCTCTCCTCCATTAAAACCATAAAGTGTCGTGGTCACCGATTTCAACTCCATATTCAACTTCTTATGGATTTGCACAAAACAATCATAGAACATCACGTCTAGCGAACTCCCCATATCGATGAACACCCTCTTCACGTCAAAGCCTGCAACCTCCACGGTTATTACCAAAGCATCGTTGTGCGGTAAGACCACTCCTTCAGCATCCTCCGCCTTAAATCTAATCACCAGCATGCGAGCCGTAATCCCCACCTCCTCTCTCTTCCTCTTCACAGCTCGAGTATGCTCTTTCCTGGCCCTATTCGAGTCACCATCTGTTGGCCCTCCGGAAATCATGTAAATCGTCCCTCTCTTCATTGGGGCTTCTCCTCCGTGCCCTCCCTTATCACCGTCCCTCCTCGTCTTCTTCCCTCGATCATCTCGACCATCTCGACCATCTCCTTCCTCATCCCTATCACTCCTTTCTTCGGAATCCACTATGCACCTTCTCCTTCCTTTTTTTTCACCCTATCGTGATACACAAATTCTTTCAAATTTCTCGTTCGAATCAACCTCTCGATCTCATCCTTCAAATGTCTACAGTTCTCCGTGGTATGACCGTAATCTCGGTGAAAACGACAGTAAATGTCTGACCTAGGTCGAATCGAACCTGTAAACCTTGTCTTTGGCCAAGTCACATCCTCGCTTGGCATCTTCTGCTATATGGCCTCAAGAACCTCTGTCATATATTTCCTCAAGGGCGTAAAAGTGTGGTATCTTTGCCTTTCAAACTACATTGGCCTCCTCTGCCACTCATCTATCTTCTCTTTCTTCGAGTCTCGACTCTCCCCTTAGGGCGATGCCCTCTTCCGTCCACTCCTTTTGGGGGAATTTCTCCTCGGAAATCTTCCCCTTTGCGGGCTTTTCTCCTTCTTTGGCTCTGGTCGAGCCACCCCTTCCAGCTTTGCAAACTCCATCTCCATCTCCTCCAAATTAATGTACTTCCTGCACCTCTTTAGAACATCCTCATATGATCGAGCAGGGGTCTTCGCCAGGGAAGTTCGACAAGGCCCTACTCGAAGACTCCTTATCAATCCTCCCGCCTTCACCTCATCCGAAGCCGAGTGCACCTCTAAACACGTCTGATTGTATCGAGCAACATACTTCTTCAATGACTCCTTCTCCCCCTGCCTCATCGCCATCAGAGTCAAATACGTCTTATCCTGCACCACCGCGCTCGAATATTGATTGATAAGCTTGCTGGTAAAGTCCTCAAAATCCGCAATCGACCCAGGGGGTAATTGATGAAACCAATCAAGTGCTCCTCCACGCAAGGCTGATAGAAATGCCCTGCAACAAACAGAATTAGAATATCCATGCAACACAGCCATATTTTCAAAGGTCCTCACATGCCTCGACGGGTCAGACGACCCATCATACACCAAGTTGGTCTCCTTGAAATTGTTTGGCAAAGGAGCAGCGAGAATCTCCCTCAAAAAGGGATGTCCTCGAGCTCTTCTCTCTGGCCTCCCCTCCACCTCGTCTTACAACTGGCACAACTGCTCCGCCATCCTTTCCATCGCCCGATCTCTTCCAGCTCCTCCCTCTCCATAACTGGACACATCCTCATCTTGGCTTCCGGCCACCGTGGTCGGCGCAGTGGTGGCATGAGATGTGTAGCTCGTAACTTGTTGCACCGTCTGCGCCGCCGCGGCTGCCGCTATCCTCTGCATCTCCTCCCGGGTCATCGCCACCATTTGCTGACCGGGGGCTTGTACAGCTGCCTGTGGTGGCACTCCTCCTTGCGCCATCATTCCTCCCTGCCCCAGTGTTGGATTTGGTGGCGGTGGTGGTGGCATCGCCGCCGCTGCTGCCGCGCGAGCCTCCTGGGCCCGGCTGGAGCCGGCATCTCCTCTGGGAATCACCGCCGTCACTCCCACACCTTGAAGGATAGGTGTAGGAGTGATCGGTGTCTGCGATGGGCCAGAAAATCCCGGGGGAGGACCGTGCCCCAACGGCCTGGTCGTCGTCCAAGCTTCGTCGAACGTTGACTGCAAGTTTTTGGGAATTCCGTCCGCCATAGCTGAGCTTCAAACACAACTTTTGAACAAAATTCCCCACAGACGGCGCCAATAATGCAAGTGTAAGCGTCCTGGTCCGTTTTGGAGTAGATCGGTTCTTGTCCTCGCCGGTAGAACGCCGGAAACCTGCAAATAACTCTCACACCTGGGGTTGTGTCCGGTGAAGAGCCTCTGATGCTTAAGTCAGTATGTGTATGAGTATACTGGAGTTGAGTAATGAATAGAATGT